TTAATCTATACCCCAAGAAATACAAATGTTAGAGTTAACACAATCAAGCATATTTATGTTTTCCCCCCTTAGTTTAATTCCTACGAATTCTTTGATGCTAATAAGGATTTCATCAGCAGTTCTGGAGCATCCTTTGAAAATTCTTCGATTACGTACCTCCCACAAAACATAGATACAGGCGCACCAAGCAAGTTTTAAGAGTGACTTGCCTTTCCAAGTGTTGCATGCCTAAATTAACATATTCTCCCAAGATAAGATGTTCTTCTTTAGACCGTTTAGGAGCAATATAGCCTCCTTAAATAAGAAGCAATGGGGCATTCAAAGACCAAATGTTCCGAGTTTCCATCGCAACATTACAAAGAACACAATTCCCATTAGTAGCAATCCCAATGCGTTGAAATCGGTCTCGAGGAGGGAGCTTGTCTAAGAGTGCCATCCATGCAATCAAACTATGTTTAGGTATGTGGAGGGGAACCATATCAAGAAAATGCCAAGGGACTTTATCTTCATTCTTTCTAATCTCCTGCTATATATCCCTTATTGTGAGAGCTTCACTCAAAAGGACTGGAAGTGCTTTTGTTCGTAGTTTAAGAATTTTGTTAAAGCTCTAGCTTAGGCTAGCGCCTCATTCCATGTGCCACAATTCGTTCTCCTTTAGAATGTAAGCATTAATCCAAGCAACCCATAACGAACCCTCACCTACAAGGATATTTTTTTATAAGTTTAATCATGCATGCTCTATTCCAAGTTTTTAAGTTTTTCAATACAAGTCCTCTATCAGATTTCAATTTGCAAATGTTTGCCCAACTGACTCTCGCACCAGAAGCAGCCTTATCAGAGCCTTTTCAGAAGAATCGAGAGCAAAGCTGCTCAATCTTGTTGATTATAGATTGAGGAAGCAGTAGTTTCCTGCACTAATAATTAGCAATGCTGAACAGAACAGCTCTAATGATCTCCAGTCTACCAACGTAGTTTAAGTGTTTACCAGACCAGAGGGTGAGTCTTGATTTAATACTTTCAATAAGAGGTTCACAATCTTTCTCTGAGAGCTTTCTTGTATTTAATGGAACTCCAAGGTATCTTACAGGCAAGCTTCCAGGGTTGAACCCAGTTGTTCATTTAATAAGCTCTATGTTACTGGTTGAAATTCCAACAGTAAAGAAGACACATTTGGCAGCATTTAGATTAAGGCCAAACATTTCATAGAAATGATCAAGAACATAAATGAATCCTACAACAGATTCCACATTTCCTTTACAAAAGATCAATAAGTCATCATCAAAGGATAAGTGAGTGAGCCCTATTATTTTGCATTTTGGGTGGTAACTAAACAATCCTTTAGTAGCAGCCAAGTTAAGCAGTCTAGAAAGGACATTCATGGAAATAAAAAAAAAGGATAGGAGAAAGAAGATCACATTGTCTAATACCTCTAGCACCCTTAAAGAATCCTATCAAGCTCCCATTAAAAGATATGGAGAATCTAGCTTTAGTGAAACATGCTTCAATCCAATCAATAAATTTTTTAGAGAGATTAAGAGCTTTTAGAACTGCTGAAATAAAGTCCCAAAGAAGAGTGTCAAATGCCTTTTGGAGATCAATCTTCAAAATAACATCTTGGAGAGATGGTTTTCCTTCCATATCCTTTAACCAATTTCCTGAGCAAGAAGAGTATTGTCAACTATGCTCCTTCATTTTATAAAAGCAGTTTGGTTGAGAGAAACTATTCCTGGAATGAGGCAGGTCAGTCTCTTGACTAAGATCTTAGTGATAGTCTTATAAATAACAGAACATCAAGAGATTGGCCTAAAATCTTTAACTTTGTTGGGGTTGGGAACTTTAGGAACCAAAGCAAGAGTAGTTGCATTAAAAGTAGGAAGCATTGAGGACTGTTGGAAAAAATATTTTACTGCAGCCACTACATCCTCACCAACAATAGACCAAGATTTTTTGAAAAAGAGTGGAGTGAATCCATCTGGGCCAAGGGCTTTGTCATTACCCTGGCCAAAAATAGCTTCTTTGATCTCTTCTGTGGTGACATCTTTGACAAGGCTAGAAGTATAGTCAGAAGGTAGAGAATAGTTCAGAAGATCTTTCAAAAACAGTTGGTCACTGCCTTTGACATTAGGATCAGCAGTCCCAATCAGATTAGTAATGAAAGCTAACACTTCTGAAGCCATAGCATCAAAGGAATCAAGTCTATTTCCCTAATCATCAATGAGCATTCGAATAGTTTCCTTCTTTTCTTAACAGCAACAGCAGAGTGAAAGAATTTGGAGCATTTATCTCCTTTTTTTGATCCATTGCACCTTGGCTTTTTGCTTCAGAAACATTAGCTCAGTTTCTTCAAGGTTGAGTAATTCTTGTTGGATTTGAAGCTCCTTGTCGAAAGAATCTTCTCCTTTTAAAGAGAGAAGTTGTTGTTGTTCAAGTTCAAGTTTCTTTTGTCAAACCCGAGAAGAGATATCACTATAAACAAGTAGTGATTAACTTCTTGAGGCATGATTTGAAGTGCTTGAGTTTTAGAAACAGAGTCTTCATAGGGTTTCCATGAACTGTAAACTTCCAAGACTGTTCGACCTCTCTCAAGAAGTATTTTAATTTTCTTAGCTCTTATTGTGTATAATTTATTTACTTTTCAGGTCTTTAAAATATTTAGGGTAAATTATGCATTTAATACATAAACTACTAGCTTTGGTCCATTCTAGTACCTAAACTTTAATTTTTTTTCAAAATCATATCTAACGTTTACTTTTTGTTTCATTTTAATATCCGTCGTTAAAAACTTAACGTGTTTAATACCTAAACTATCAGTTTCGATCCGTTTTAGTACATAAATTTTCATTTTTTTCAAAATTTAAATATAATTTAGGTACTAAACGTGTTTTGGTACCTAAACTTTCATTTTTTTTCTCCAAAACTTAACAAAGGGGATACTAAAATAAAATAAAAATTAAACTTTAGGCATGATTCTGAAAAAATTAAAATTTTAGATACTAGAACTAAAAATTGACAGTTTATGTACTAAATATATAGTTTTGGGCTTAATACAAAATAAGTGCCTAAATTATGATTCGAAAAATGTCTTAGTGCCTAAAGAATTTTTCTATAAAAATAGGTGTCTAATGTTTTCTCTGTTATCATTTTAGGTGTCCGAGCGTTAACCATTATTAAAAATCTTCGTTAAACAACACCTGTCACTTTCTGTAATTTTGAGAATTTTTATTTAAAATAAAAAAGTATAATTATAATTTTTTTAAAAAAGAACCTAATTTTTTTTTTCAAATCTTAAAAAAACTCAAACATTTAAAACCTTAATTTTAATGCATTTGTCACCATCGGCCACCACCAATACCATTAATCAGTTGAACACTCAACGACGTATGATCGACCAACACCCACAACCAAAACTCTCCATACTTTCGTGATCAATCGAACACCCAAAAACAATATAAATAAAAGATTTTATTTTAGGGTTTTAAAGGATTTATGTTTAGGAATTTATATTTTTTTATTTTTTATTTTATATAAAAAATTCTCAAACTTACTAGAAAGTGACACGTGTCTCTTAACGAATATTTTTAACGACGATTAATGCTCGGGCACCTAAACTTATAGCGGAAAAACGTTAGAAACCTATTTTTAACAAAAAATTATTTAAACATTAAAATATTTTTCGAATCATAATTTAAACATTATTTTTATATTAGGCATTTATTTTTATATTAGGCATTTATTTATAGACTCGTACTAAGACTAAACAGACGACATTTGTCTATACGGCTAGACGCCGTGAAAATCGTGATACACTCGACCACATAATAGGCACCTTTATGATTCAGATTGTTCCATATTTTTTATGATTAATAATGATTCTACTCGTTCGTATATTCCTAGTATCGTGTTTGAAACTTTAGGTATTTGCACTGACAAATCTAAATCTAATAAGAAACGAGGATATAAACATATTTATTTTGAAATTTGAATTTTATTCGAATATTTATTTATTTTATTAATTATATTTACTTAAAATTTTATTTGTGTCTACTTTGTATAAAATTCTTTTGTAAATATATACATGTGTGCTCATACTTAAGAATATTTTTGTATCCGTCATAAAATATCTAAGTATAAAACACTGATAGTGATATTATCGTGATAAATACGATGAGACAATATGTAACCGTAAGTAAAATATTTTGAAGATATCCGTTAAATGTTTAAGATGAAATATTTTTAGTCGATTTAATGAAATTATACCTTGAAAATTTGATTTGATTATTAAAATGAAAAAAATTCAACCATTTAACATAATGAAACATATGCATATTTATTTTCCTGTAGGCTTATCAAAATATGGACTTAATACGTTGGCTGTTGTCGAAGTCCTATACTCCTACGCTGTTTTAAAGTTAAATTCGGATGTAAATACATTTATCAGAAAATTGAAGATTCCTATATTAATCTTTACAGGTGATAATGGACATTGTTGGTGCAACCTTAATTGATAAGTTTAGAAGATGATCAATTCTCTTGGTCCCAAAACTGAGGAACTTTAGGAACTATGTTATACCTTCAGAGAATAATTTCCAGAAACTGTCGGTACTCCTTCAAGATAGACTTTTGAACAAACTTTTCTTCGAACTTAAGCTCGTGAGTCAACCATAATGCATAGACAAGATTTTTGATAAGTACATATAATTTATCATAACAAAATCCAAGATCTTACCACCATATTTGCTTGGTCTATTAGTTTATAAATAGCGACTAGAGTCCCTATAAATACTCCAATCAAGACTGACAAGGGTCGAACCTTCTACAATCCCACATCCAATCTTTTTTTTTTCTTCATGACCGATTCTAATTAGAAGGAATGAACAGTTAAAGACGGACGAGATCAATTAATTCACTAGAATAAATTAAAAATGTGTTTTTTTTTTTGGCTAAACAGTTAGCTGATATTGAAATATTTTGCAGCTATCATAAGGGGGTCGGTCATGCGTTAGCAGCTTCCTTGATAGAATATCCTTCCTTTTAAACGATCATCACTTGTGGAGTAATGTTTCTTTTTCTTTTTAATTATTATTTTAGTGTATATTTAAATGTAATCTACACATGTAAGAGATTAAGAGATAAAGTTATTTGTTTTGTATTTCATGTTTATATAATATGGGGTCATACCAAGTGGTTATTTATTTATAATATTTTTTGGTAGATCCAAAGATGTGCTTTTTTTTATATATACGAGTGAGGGTAGTTAGCAGAAAGATGCAGAAGGAAACCAAAATTTAATACAAAATCCCCCAAGCATTTTCTTTATGTTCCTCTAACATCCTGATTGTTGTTTATTATATTTTTTCTGGGTTTCCAGGACAAAAATTGATGGAGGAAGAAAGGGTATAATGACACAGTCTGAGCCTTTGATCGGGTCATCCGTTTTTATCTGGGTCTACAAAAAATATTAATATATAATTATTATTAATTAAATATTTTACATTTTTTTACATGCCTCACCAAACAATACATAAGGCCTAGCAGTACAAGAAAAAAACCAACAAGCCCCAGAAGCCCATTACAATGGAACCCAACTTAGCCGGATCCATACCTGACCCAAACCAGGCCCGGCTCCGACCCGAAAGAGACCCGAACCGACCCATTTCAGATTAGGGTTTTCTAACCCTAATCCTTATCAACATAAGCCAGCACCGCCAGTCCTCTTCACGGCCGCACGCTCCAGCCGAACGCCACGATGACCAAACCACCGCTGAGTCACTAGCCACCGATGGACATAGTCGTCATCGCCTACATCAGCAACCACAAAACCAAGACACTCAAGAATCAGACCAAATCAACTCCGAATCCACTGAGCATTTTTTAATAACACTAAAATCCTGGAAATTTCGGTATTGATATACCCTACCACTATTCGAACATTAGTGGAAAACTCACTACCAGCAACCAAAATATTATAAATACAGGGGGTTCGACCGAGCAAAGGGGAAGGATTCAAACAAGAGCAAAAATAGAGATTATTCAGGGGTTTCGAACAGAAAAATAAAGAGGAAAACAGAGAAAAATAAATAAAATACATGTAAGAGAGAAGAGTCTTAGCTTGGGAGGAATCGAGAACGCTAAGGGTCGCCGGATCCGAAGAAACCGAAGCGTTTCTTCGTAGATCTCCGGCGATTGAACACTCTTTGGGCCAAAAAGACCCCGAATTCGTATTCAGGGTTAAAGAACTCTTTGAAAGGTACCAACTTTTTTGTGCTTCGGCCGACGGACGGCGGAGACTCCACCGGATTCTGGGTTTCTTGGCATGGGTAAATATTTGGTAAGGTCCCTTATAGTTTGTATTAATTTGTTTTAGCCATTAATGAAATTTTGGATGTTTTATTTCGTCCCTTTTTGTTTCAATATTTTCATTTCAATCAATAGTTTATATACTATATTATGTTTGCTGATATTATAATTTGACTCTATAATTTATATACATTTTATTTTAGTCACTATTAATGTATTTTGGTCTAATTGTTATTTGCCCTTGCATGTTTTTATTTAATTTATTTTAGTCCTATATGTTTGTCATATATTTTTGGGTAAATTATTATTGTGTTTGTTAATTCTTAATTAATAAATTTCAGTCCTGTCTGTGTCTTAATATATTTTAGTCTAATATATGTTTTAGTTTTTTTTATTTATGTTATGTTTCATTTAGACCCATGTTTGTAATTTAATAATTATTAATGTTTATAATTTCATTTATAAACTTATTTAATTTTTATTTTGGTTCTTTAAGTTTTTGTAATTACTATTTTAGGACTTAAAGTTTATGTTTTTTCCATTTTAATATTTTAAATTTTAGTTTGTGATATTTGGTCTTCAAAATTTCTATTTTTACTATTCTAGTTTTTAAATTTCTGTTTGTGCTATTTTAGTCATTTAATTTTCTATTTTTGCTATTTTAATACTTAAAATTTTTGTTTCTCTTTATTTTGGTCTTTATAATTTTAAATACATATTTTTGCTATTTGTATTTATGTTTATAATATTTATTTGTTCTTATTTCAGTCCTTTTAATTTCCTCTTTTAAGTTATTAATTTGAGGCAAATTAATTAATATTCAATAAATAGATCATATTTTAATTTGATATTTGATTCAGGGTTTCTACCATCACGACAACGTGTAAGCGAAACAGTATTAATTTTGGGCGCTGTGGGGGTGCTAATCATTCCTCACGCGTAACCGACTCCCGAACCTTGTTTTAATCTAATCTTTGTTAGCAGACCAGTTTTTTGTCTTAAAAAATGATTTTTCTTAAAATTGTTTTTAAAAGAAATTTTTAGGTATTCGACATACCTAACCAAAAGGTTGATGGAGACTCTTTTTCAATTTTATCCAATTTAATTCAAAATCCTCAATTTTTCTAAAATTTAAAGTCATAATCGTTTTTAAATAAACATTTAATTTTTCCGCCTAAAAAACGGTTACGACAGGAAGAGAAGAAGAAGGTGGTGTTGATGGTGAGCAGCTGAATAGTTCAAGTGTCACCACTTCTCTTGTTCTCAGCACCTTTGTGGCAGCTTGCATTTCCTTTGGTTTTGGATGTGTTGTAAGTACATCAATCTGTGATTATTTGCATGTAGTTGACAGTCTGTTCTACTTCTGATCCAGTTTTAATTAGCATTTATTCACTAGTTTTTTTTTCTTCTTTTTCATGGTTTTCTGATAGATGGATATTCATCACCTACTCAGTCTGCTATCATGGAGGACCTGAATCTTTCTGTTGCAGAGGTAAAAGTAAATGCTTTGTACATTGATCATGGATGTTCAATTTAGAGCTTGTAAACAACTGAATGTGCTCTGCAGTTTTCACTTTTTGGTTCAATGTTAAAGCTGGGATCAATTCTAGGAGCTTTAGCAAGTGGGAAGACTGCTGATATCCTCGGTCGTAAAGGCGTAAGCTTCGAACACTAACCTGACCGAACTTTATAAGCCTTTAATCGAATGTTGGTCGAAAAACCATGTCTAATTCCTCAATGTTCTTGGACCAGACCATGTGGGTTTTAAACTTGTTCTACATTGTAGGATGGCTTGCAATAGCATTTGCTAAGGTCTCTTCTGTCTTCCATTGTCTGTACTGTAACACTTTTCTTTATCGATATGCTCCCTTTCTTCCGTTTGTTCGTCTATAATGTTGTGTTTTCATGTGTTGGGAAGGTTCCATGGTTGATACAGGAAGATTATTGCTGGGATTCCGGAATGGGATTGCTGTATATGTGGTACCTGTATATCTTGTGGAGATAACACCGAAGAACCTTCGGGGAAGATTAACGTCACTAGTACAGGCAATTTCTAAACTTAATAGCATTCAGGTCACCGGTACTTGATGTATCATGTTCTTAACAGCTGATTCTGCAGATGATGGGTGTCATAGGCCTTTCTATGATGTATATAATTGGCCCTTTCATCAATTGGCGTTTATGGCTCTAATCGGTAACTTTCGAACTTTCTTACCAATGTGAACTGTATTAGAACTGCAATTTGATTCTATTATTAACTTCGGGACGATTTTGCATATAGGTATAATTCCGAGTCTTCTACAACTCTCACTTCTGTTCTACATTCCAGAGTCTCCTAGATGGCTGGTGAGTTGGATTTCATGCTTTCATTTTACATCGTTTTGCAAGCAATGCCAGAAACAATATAGTTTTGCTCTAACTTTGAGTTTTCTGTAGATAAAAGTTGGTCGAGAAAAGGAGTTCGAAACCGCGCTGCAGTCCCTTAGGGGAAAGAAATCCAATGTTCTTGAGGAAGCAACTTCAATAAAAGTAACATTCCAATTCATTTCTTCTTGTGCAGAACTTCTCTAAAAGAAAACAGATAATATGTAGCTTGAAGAAAGGAAATAACATTAGATCATTTTTCAGAACTATACTGATCGTTGAAACGATTCTCATGGGGACAAATGTCGGATTTATTCCAGCCAAGATACATTCATTCCCTGATTGTAAGAATTGAAACATGATTTCAAAACTTTGCAAGTGTTATCTGTTGAGTTAATCGATTGACATAATCGGCCAAGAGGGGGTGAATTAACAATTAAAATTTTGTGAAACTTTTGCAGAAAATTAAAAGTAATTGCACAACTATTTAGAGTGGTTCGACTTTCTCAATCAAAGTCTACGTCCACTACCTTAACTATCCACACTAAGGATATTCCAACAAATTCACTAATTTGTTTTTTCTTTTGAGGTCAAAGAGATAACCTTACAACACCCTCAAGAATATACCCCAATTCTTGAGAACACTCTTTCCCAAAGAGAAGATTACAAATTTGCAAACTTACAAGGAAATCCTCACAAGATAGATTGTTTGCACAATTCTAGAACAAAGAAAAGAACACTCAAGAATGAATACAATTGAGTACAAGTAGTGTTCTTGAAAGCAAAATGAATATTGAATGAAAAATAGGCTTGAAATGCACAAACTTGAGGTTTGATGCTTTCTCTTTGATTCTCTCTTGATTCTAGTTGCTTGATGTTTCTTGTTATTGATCAATGGCTTCTAAGCTTGTTTAAATACACCTTGAATCACTTCTGAACGTTGGGGATCATTAATGAAGTTATTGGAGCCGTTTAAGTGTGAAAACAATTAATATTTCTGCTTGGAGCGAGGGAGGAATCAGTACCCCCTCGTGGGGGGAATCAGTACCCCTCATGGGGAATCGGTTCCCTAAGTGTAAAATTCAAATATTCGACCGTTGAACAGCGGGGGGAATCGATACCCCCTGGGGAGAATCGGTTCCCTCCGAGCATACTGGAATTTCTCGGAGCAAAATCATTCAGGGGGAATCAGTACCCCCTTGGGGGGAAATCGGTTCCCTCTAGGCAAACTGTAATTTTTGGCTTTAAAACGGTTCGAAATACTTTGTAAAATTTTTTTGAAATAATTTTAAGATTAAAACTTAATTTTACACTTTAGTAAGGATTTAAAATGAACTTTGAAATACTTTGAGTAATATTTTGATATTCGATTTAATATATCGAATATGCTTAGAA